AAAGTCCTGTGTGTTGAACAAGATCTCTTAATTTTGTAAATTTGGTTCCCATAGTATGCCGAACACACAATACGGTACATTAATATTCTAATGATGTAAGACAGAACGTCACTATCTGATAATGCAGATTCAAAGAAACGTTGCTGAGTAATAAGTTACAAAATTTAAAAGGTTAAAAATATGCCCTACCTGAAGAATTCTTCTCGACAAATTTGGGAACTGTAATAAAGAGCTTGTTTTCGTAAGTGCAGTAAACCTTCGCTAATCCGGTTACAGTTCTTTTTATTGTTAGTGAGGGTGGAGTAAGTCCCTTGTACTGCGGCTACTTCTGACCTATTGTACCAGCCCCAGATGATAGGTGAGGGTGATTGTGGAGCAATTGGTGGAATTAAGATTGGCAGGGGAAACCGAAGTACTCGGGGAAAACCTGCCTTAGCGCCACTTTGTCAACCACGAATTCCATTTGACCAGGCCCGGAATCGAACCTTTGGCGCGGGCCTAGTTTAGCCTTAGTCACCCTTAGAATTGCCATTCATTCTTTTAAGTCTTGAGCTTTTGGGCTCCATCTTTGTATACCTACAGTTTCTGTTTCTGCCTCTACGTGACCTAACCATCTCAACTTGGGTCTTCAATCCCCACTTTTGCCTTATGCTGAGTATCTTTTTTGGCATACGGTTCCAGTCTGATGACGTTCTCCAGCCATTCCAGTGTCTTGATTCAGTCACAATATCCGGCGACTTACATGCATTTTGTAGTTACAGATTCCTTCTTATTCACGTTTTGATCAGTAAATTTTCCTTAAAATCTCCCTTTCCCATGTCATCAGAGCGGATGCTATTTTTCCTGTGTGTCCAAGTTTCAATGCCGTATACTATAAAAGTAAAAAGTAAAGCTATCCCTGTACCAGGCCTTGAAGGCCCATAGGATTGTGAGACGCTGAGGGTCCCACATTATCGAGACAATCGGCTCAAAGATGGCGTTAAGGTTGTCAGCCTTACGCGCCGGCTGTGCTTTACTCCCCAGGAAAATTATTTAATTAATTCCTGGTACTCATTTCTGTTAGAGGCTGAGTCGACCCCAGGGCCATAGTGCGGCTGGAAGGATTAGGTCAATTGAAAAAATCCACTGACCTCATCGGGACTTAACCCCGCGACGTTACGGCTTGTAGCATAGTGCCTCAACCAACTACGCTACCGCGTGCCCCCGTCCTATAGTATAACTGGCCCCAGTGGCAGTTGTACATATTTATATAAATTCGTTGAAGGCTTGAAAGGACTGAGTGTAGTAGTGAGTAAAGTGACAGTAGATCTGAATGGTTGAGGCGTTTTTGTTCACTTTTCACATGTTGGCGAGCCTGAAGTGTTCTACTTGACCGACACAGCATCCTGCCATCTGGAAGGGTACCAACTTTAACGGCCATTCATGTGCGAGCCACACACTATTCTTATAACCACACTTCTCCAAGTCATGGGAGAGTTGAGGTTCTTGCTACGGTGTCTATTTAGATTTTCGTCTTCTGGAAACTGACATCGTGTAATACGGCAGATATATAGTAATATTTCGGAGCAAACTGCCGCCTCCATCTTCAGAGCAGAAGTTACACTCTTCTATTTTGAAAACGGGGAAGCAGAGGTCCTTCCGAAATGTTGATAAGTACCAGAATATACGGTATCACGAGTCAGAAGAAAGTAATCATGGAGGGCCACACGAACCGGATCAGCGGATTTCGCTTCTCATAAGGCGCGGTCTTTATCACTTCTGTTCATTATAGAGCGACCGCTGCTTGTGTGATAAAATGATGGTTGTGCTTTAATGATAGTTGTATTTAGTTTCTTGGAGTGGGGTGAAATTGAGTCCACTTGGTACGTCGGCCAACCCCGGATGATAGTTCAGGACGAATGTGGAGCATTTGGTGGAATGAATATTGCCAATCTTCATTTCACCAATTGCTCCACAATCACCCTCACCTATCATCTGGGGCTGGTACAACAGGCCAGAAGTGGCCACGGTACAAGGGACTTAGTCCCAACCCACTAGAAATAATAATAATAATAATAAAAGTTAACGAATGGTCCTAAATAAAACGTTTAATTAACGAAGTGTCTTTAAATGAATCGGAAAATAATAACTAATTGCACTGAATAGAATCCCGGAAAGGCTAATGATCTCTCAGTTCATTAATAAATTGTCCTTCTATTAATGTTTGTCCATTACATTGCTTACAAGATCCATGTTATAAACGCTTAATCCTTCCAGCCGCACTATGGCCCTGGGGTTCACTCAGCCTCTAACAGAAATGAGTACCAGGAATTAATTAAATCATTTTCCTGGGGAGTAAAGCGCGGCCGGCGCGTAAGGCTGACAACCTTACCGCCATCTTTGAGCCGATTGTCTAGATAATGTGGGACCCTCAACGTCTCACAACCCTATGGGCCTTCACGGCCTGGTACAGGGATAGCTTTACTTACTTTTTTACTTTTACATGCTCAATGGATACTGCATGTACTCTGCTTAACTAATTAAGCAGTACGCCATGAAGGTGTATGGGCTAGTGGATGTATAGATCAACATTTTCTTGACCTCGGCACTAGTTGGAGGTGAGTGGTCAGCTTCACGCCCCTGCCGCTTTACCAAAATTCTTGAGTCAACCGTTATTCGAAGTCCAACCCCTCGGTCGTCCAGTCCGCAGCCAGTCGCTATACCGACTGAGCTATCCCGGCTCCTCCTAGATGTACCGCTCCTGCTTCACATTTTGCCCACACGGTGCATTTATTGTTTTCTTACAGGGAATAGCAATCGGGCCTTTTCTTCTTCTTCTTCTTCTTCTTCTTCTTCTTCTTCTACGGTACGACGTCCCGAAGACGAACCTTGGCCAGACTTGCCTGTCTAGAGATTCTCTTTTCCAGGTTCTCACTTCGAATTCTCTCTATTGTCTCATTCTACTGCATTAACCCATCTTTTCCTTAGCTTTCCTACAGGCCTCATTACAAAAATGTTGCTTTCCAAAATACTTTTCTGTTCGAGTTTTTCTGACCACCTCTGTGGTCTAGTGGTGAGAGTTCCTGGCTACAGATCCAAAGATCCCAGCTTCAATTCCCGGCGCTACCAGATTTTCTGAGAAGTAGTGGGTATGGAACCGGGTCCACTCAGAGTCTCGTGAGGATAATTGAGGAGCGATTTCAAGGAAATAGAGGCTCCGGTCTAGAAAACCGAGATTAATGGCCATGGGGATCCGTTGCGCTGACCACGTGACACCCTCTATCCGCTAAAGTTGGCACTAACTTCGCTTGGCCTGTATAATTCGCTTGCGGACTACAGACCACGGAGTTTGTTTTTATTTGAGTTTTTCGTCCATACACTGGAGGTGACGTGACCTTTATAGTTACTTTTTACTTTAATTATATTTGAAATGCTTGGCTCTTCAAATTCCCTACAGAATTCATTACTATATATCTAATTATCCATGTATTGTTTTCTTTCGTAAGGCCAAGTAGAGACCTCTATCAGTATCCAGCATCAATCAGCCCGTCTCTGTAATCCGAAGACAGTTTTTGTTTTTAACATTGAATATTATTTAGGCTCCAGTTTTCCCTTCCTGCTACTACCGTCTTTTTAAATTTGACCACAGAAACTGACTTAGAGGCACGATGTTGGCAATATATCTCGATATTGGTACCACCTGGTTTTCGTCTGGTGACAACTGAATCCTGTCGCTTTTTTAGGATGACAGTGGACAGCTGGCAGCTGGCAGGATGTGCGAAGGATTTGTATCCTTTGGAAGATCCTTGTGAAACTAATTAGAAAATCTTGCCCCTGGGATTCGCAGCTAACAACAGGCGATACACAAATCAGCCCTAGTGCAAGAAGAGACTAGGGGCGCCCAGCGGTAACTCGCGCGCATTATCAATGTACACAATTGCTTTATGTGGTTTAGGTTATGTTGGACTTTCCTTCTGACATATTTCAGAGAAGAACATAAAAGAACACGAACTCGTTGTGTTTACCCCATTAAGAACAGCCCATATATCTATATCTCCCTATTATTTTAATTGTTTCTTGCATCCTGTTGTGTATTTAATCAATATTAGGGTTAATTTCACCGAAATTAACCCTAATATATCAGCCTATGTAGACCCTCCGGGAAGCATGCGACATTTTATAGTGCATATGATCAAGCAGGTAAGCTCAGCTTAAAGTTCTAGACACATGGGGTGTACTTTGAGGCTTTTCATGTTTTCCCCAGTCACTTCAGACACATCGTGATATATTTCGCTACATTCCAGATCAGACAGCCTCCAATTCCAACATAGAAAAATCCTCCAGCGCTTTCAATCCAAGATTTATCGATCCGTTCTGAACGCACCTTGGTGCAGAAACAACAACAGGATCCATGAAGATCTACAAATGAACAGAGTTCTCAGTGAAATGAAAAAGTGGAACACTAAATACTTAAGAAAATTATAAGAGCACACTAATGGACTAGCAGTGAGCGTAGTAGACAATAGCGAAACTACAAATAGACTGAAAAGATACACCGTCCTGACTGTACCAGACAGACCTGAGTAAAACCCTAATACAAGAATTAAAACGATACCTAAGTAAACAGAAAGAGACACGAGATATTGGTTACGCCACTGGACATAACTCATTGATTGAACATGTACATTTATTGCAGATTCTATGGATTATATAATCAGTGTGTGAAAAAAATTATCATTCGTCTGCCATCCTTCTACACCACGCTGGATAGCACGGCCGCCGAAACCGCCGTAAAACAAGGCATAAACGAGTGACGCCTGGCGTCTTGTTGCCCATCGCAAAGTGTGCATTGATACACAGAAAAATATAAAATATATCTAAAAATATCCGTTCCCAGACTCCGAGCTGACGGTCGGAGTTTTGTGGACCTCTGATGGACTTTCCTGTGCCCACGCAGTGTTATGCAACATGGAGCGTGCCACGAGGAAGTCGAGAGAGAAGGCCAGAAGCTTCCACCAGTCGGACATGTCTCGCGGTGCAGCTAGCGCGGTGCGAGCCTCAGTGTCGTGCTTGTGTGCAGTTGCTGAGGAAAGCCACGGAGTCGGGACTCTGGCAGCAACAGTATCCACCACATCTCCGCAGTAACCTCATCCGTGCGGTATGTACAGGGGATGTAACGGTGAGGGGTGGTTGAAAGGCAACAGCAGACATCAGAACTGAGTTCGTGGAGACATCTGCCATTTCGTCTCAGATGTTTCAGCAGATGGCGGCTTGAATCTGCAGCCCTGTGTAATATCAGAATGCCTGCTAACATTTCCAGTTACAGCTGGCTCCCTGCCACATGTTGTGGCGTCGGAATTTGTTATGGTCGATGCGCGCACGCGCACTTTCACCTGCACTGATCCATACATACGTACATATATTGATACATCAGTAATACATAGCCGTCTATAGTCGTGTAACATTGAGATGTAAGCTATGAAGTTATGTAGTGTTAGGTTACCATGGCAACGAATTGTCTATTGTGAACGTGGGTGATACAGTAGGTCACGGACGAGTTAGCAGTCTTTTGCTTCGGTGTATCGTGCCTGTTCCGTTACTATTGATAATATTTTCATGTGGGTATGTGATATATAAGCCGGTCACGGTAGCCGAGCGGTCTAAGGCATGTACTGTCTTCGCTCGCTTGGAAACCGGGATCGTGGGTTCGAATCCCACTCAGGGCGTGGATGTTTAGTTTGTGTGTGTGCGTTTTTCTGTGTTTGTGTACAGGTAGAGGCCTTGCGACGAGCTGATCACCCGCCCAAGGAATCCTACCGAATGTGTAAGATCTAGAAAAACCGAAGTGAACGGAGAAGTTCATGGAGGTAGGCCTAGGCCCACTGGGGCTGTAGTGCCAAAGGGGGGAAAAAGTGATATATAAATGAGACATTCTCCAATTGACTATTTGTGCTTGATATTCCTGGGCCTCGACGTATCATTCGATAACAGCAAGAATGGAAAGGAATACAGGTCGATGCAGTGAAATTAATAGTACGACATTGTATTCAGTTTTTGACGGATGTTACGCCAGTTTCAGTTTGTTTATTTAACAGTGTTGGATGTATTGTTATTTAACGATGCGCTCTATGACGCAAATTGAACATCAAACAATTGTATGGTTAGTAAATTAGGAACTGGAAACGTTATGGAAAGAAAGCGAACATTGAATAATTGAACCACTCTCTCGGCGTATGCCATGTGTGACTGAGAAAACCACGAAATACCTTAGTGAAAACGGTGGATGTTGCATTCCAAATATAGACAGATGCCTCCATAATACAAGGCAGAGGCCATCTTATGCGGTTTAAGAGGATGTTAGTGACTTAGATCATAAAATATCCTGAGAATCGCTCCTACGGATCCCACCACGCGATTATTCGTTGAACACTGGGACGAAAGTATCCGGAGATTGGAATACAACGGACACACAATTGTCGGGACTATAGCGGCAACACAGGGTCGCAAAAATTATACGCCTGTCCATTTATTTTCAATGGTAATTTGCCTCAGTATTCTCCAAGGAGTTCTGTTGTGAGACATATGGGGGCCAATATCATATTCAACTTTGCAGTCGAAATTCTGTAAATGCACATTCTCTTTTAAATATTTATCACGTGACCCGAATGTCCGAATATTTTGTACACATAGATTAATATCCCGTGTAACTTTCAGAATGCCTTCCTGGAGATTAGAGCGCTAAGTAAATCAGCGTTATGCTGGGCCCTTTCGACATAGTATTTATGGAAATGCGTTCCTAAAATATTTATTATAATTACACAATACATTTTTTATGTAAGATTTGAGGCTTTCACGGCGGTGACTATGAAGAAAGCAGTCTTCTGGGCTTTGGAGCCGTGTATATGTGGTGTTAACCGACGTTTCGGAGGAACGTATCGCCCCCATCTTCAGGGTTGAAGAAAAAGTATAGGTAAATCTGCAAGCGACAACACCGTGAGACAGTCTGCGTTACCGTGTCTCACGGTGTTGTCGCTTGCAGATTTACCTATACTTTTTCTTCAACCCTGAAGATGGGGGCGATACGTTCCTCCGAAACGTCGGTTAACACCACATATACACGGCTCCAAAGCCCAGAAGACTGCTTTCTTCAATACATTTTTTAGTCTATTTTTTTGCAATCTGTACCAACTACAGTTATAAATATTATTATATTGTGACGTGGATGGCGCAACAGGAAGTAGGGGTCACGTGAACTCTGCGGTCTTGCGAGTGACGTCACGTACCCTCCTTTCATCATTACGCAACGCTCGATAAACATCCCTTCCCCCGCGGTGACCTAACAGAAGAGCAACTGTGTCAGGCAACCACGCCATCGGTGACGTAACAGCATCGGAGCGCTTCTGGTGCTACGGTAACAGGCCAGTCAACACTCCGTCCCCCCTCCCGCGGTGACGTAATAGCCCTTCCCACTGTGACGTAACACGGGAGACCGTTGTTGACACGGGCAACAGGGAACTGTATAAAAAGCCGGCTGAGCAGTATGTGGCCAGAGTGTGTGATCAGGAGTGACAGTGCGGATCGTGAAGTCGCCGAAGTCAGTTGCAGTCTAGCATTCGCCGGAGTAAATGGAAGCAGGAGAAGAAATTGTCATACTTCAGTAGTGGTGTAATTGTGAATTGTGTAAATGTGAGAGCGAGTGTTCAATAAATTCGCTATATCCAATACGGCATGAAGTTATGTGTCGCGTGACATATACTCAACACGCGACAATATATTAAATTCTTTACAAAATATGCATAATGTATTGTGATTTACTTTACGTACTGGTATCTGTGGATCATTTTCCGAATAGTTTTGAATTTTCTTCATACTGCGAAGAAGGCGTTCTTTGTAGCAGAATATCGTAATGTAAATACCTCTCTTCTCTTTAGTAAGGTAAAGTTTTCCCTATGCTTAACTAATCAAGCACTACGCCATGAAGACGTATGGGGAATGGATATATAGATCTATATATTCTTGACCTCTACACTAGTTGGAGGTGAGTGGTCAGCTTCACAACCCGGCTGCTTTACTCCCGAGGATTTACCCCCCAGTGCCCATCTGATAGGCTGGGTGGAGAGTAGAAGAATTTACCTCTGCCAGAACCCGAACTTCGACCCCTGTGCCGTCCAGCTCGTAGCCAGTCGTTACACAGACTGCTGTATTTCGGCACCCCTCTTCACTTTAATATACTACTTTCAACTTTTGGCTTTATTTCATACATCAATTCTTGAAATTTGTCAGTGAACTAGTGGTTCAGTCTCCCCCCCCCCCCTCNCTCGACATCGTCAGATGTGGAATCTTCATTATTGCCTAAGAACGGAATTCTGCCGTTGCTGTTCCACCGATGTATTTTCGTACAGAAGGGTGTCAGACTGTACACGCACACCTGCACAGCAAGCAATGAACTTGCATGCACTGTCCAGTGTGCATCATGTCTTATTTACGTGTTGCTAGGTGTGCCTTGGTTATGTAAGCTTGCGTGTCCTTCGAGGAGAATTACCAAAGCCAACAGTGACTCGGCAGTTGTAATGAGAGGCTCGGAACTGCACATTGAGCGTCTTCCGCAAAGCTTCAGTTCCTCATCTGACGGGCTGCAGTGGAACCCCAGGTTTTATCGTCTCATTGACAGCAACCGCCACTTTGTCTTTTGGGTTGAATTAATCTTATTACACCTCCAGTGTCCTAAGATCCATTTTAACATTTTGTTCCCATTTATTATTAGGCGTCTGAAATGGTTTCTTCGCGTCAGGTCTAGTAACCAAAATGTTTATGCTTTGGCATCTATCCCATGCGTTCTGTATGCCCCGCCAATGTTTTATCCTACTATCCTTATTTTGAAACATTAAAAAGGAAGCTTATGAGATTGACTTGTTGTCTGTATATTCGTCTATGCCTGCCCATCCCCCCCCTCTAAGTTTTTAGGCTTATGATCAGTGTTATATTTTAGCGTCCTGTTACACTGATTCATGTCCATGGTTTATGCTGACCGTCTTACAGTGTATACACCTTTTCACCTTATTCTTCACTTCCACACTACATGTTTCAGAACTAATGTGCCATCCTCAGGTGTCTTTATGCACGTTAAACTATTGTACTGCATGCCATGATGTCTTCATTCTAAAATGACTAAAATCTGTAATCGTCATATAGGACGATGAATTCTAAATAAAAAAACTTTTCAGGATTCTTCCTACGTCGCACTCAAACATGCGAATTACGCCAATCCTCTTTTATGTGAGCATTCTTCCTACCTATATTTGTGTATCGTGTTCTGTGTTGTGTCTTGCTCCTGTTACTGCATGCGTTGTACTGCTGGATCTGTGTGTGTGTGTGTCCCTTCTAATGTTTTAGTTTTCTATACTGATGGTGTATCAAACAAAAGTAGACGATTAGTTTTTCCTGGAACTTCCTGTGATTCCTTGAATTAATCAAATATGCGAAAAACACAAATTTATGAGCTTATGAATATATTCTGCCGTATTATTTTCTGAAAATGGAAGAAAAACGGCAGCCTTTCAGGCTGCCCTTTTTTTTTTGTAAATACAGCATCAGATTTGGAGAAACAGGTCTTAGTACTCAGAGTTCCTGGCTGCAGATGTAGAGGTCCCGGGTTCGATTCCCGGCGTTACCAGATTTTCTGAGAAGTAGTGGGTCTGGAACGGGTTCCACTCCCCCTCGTGACGCTAATTGAAATGCTATTTCAAGGAAATAGCGGGTCCGGTCTAGAAAACCGAAATTAACGGTCGTGGGGATCCGTTGTTCTGACCTCGCGACACCCTCTATCCGCTAAAGATGACACTAACTTCGACGACAAGCGGCGATCGCTCGGTCGCTTGCGGACTACAGGCCACGGATTTATGCTAACTGGCCGTCTTTATACCACCTCGGTACGGACCGAATAGAAAACGTTTCCATTATCGCTGCACTCCCTCGTTACCGTGTAAACATGCTTGCTTGCGGAGCCGTTACTTATCAGTGGATATCATGTGGTTGCTTTTTCCGCGGTCGTTGCCTAGCAACGAGTCTGTATGCCACGATATTTCCCAGAACCACTTTCTTGTCATTTCGTGAACGTATCCACCAGTTATAACATTGTGCATTTCGGAAATGGAGTTT